AAACAAGAAGGTATGTTCATTCTATTTTATAATGAAACAAGAAGGTATGTCCATTCTATTTTATAATGAAACAAGAAGGTATGTTCATTCTATTTTATAATGAAACAAGAAGGTATGTCCATTCTATTTTATAATGAAACAAGAAGGTATGTTCATTCTATTTTATAATGAAACAAGAAGGTATGTCCATTCTATATTATAATGACAGAAGAAGGTATGTTCATTCTATTTTATAATGAAAGTAGGTATGTTCATTCTATATTATAATTTCATTTCACTGTATATTGATGACTTAGCTACAGTTAGTGTTAGGACAGAGAAAATAATATCTATATATTTTTACTTTAAAATTTCCAAAATTCATTTAGGAGGTTCTAGAGGTTAAGCAAATGTAATACATAAACTGTAAAATGAAAGGAAGTATTTATATTTTTAACATAAAAATCATCTTGAACTCAGGTTGACTCAGAAAAGGTTTCAAAAATTCATAGACAAATTGTTACTATAAATACTTTATTAGACATTCTGATTTTTTGTGAACAACAGACTAATAATGTTTACTAAAAGTCTGTCAAATTTTGTAAAGATAACAATTATTAAATTCGGAGTTCTAGTATGTAAAATGTCATGAGTTTCAAGGTCATTCAAAATGACCAACCCACAGAAAGAGAGGTTTAATTACTTCTGTAGAGAAACACAAACAACATAGACATACCTTACAATAGCTTCTATTTTCTTCTTGTACTTGAGGTCTATTTCGTTTCTGTATTCTGGTCTCATAAGCATCGCAGCAAAACCAAATGAAGACTTTTTCAACCCTGCTCGATGGCACTCTATGACTGTTGATGTTAATATAGGAACAACGTCTATAATAAAGTGAAGCAGTTATTGTATGTTACATGATCTCTGTCTAATTGTCTGAAACAGATAACAACATAACTTTACTAATTAATTCATTCCTATGGCAGTCTTTACAACATAACTTTACTAATTAATTCATTCCTGTGGCAGTCTCTACTACATAACTTTACTAATCAATTCATTCCTGTGGCAGTCTTTACTACATAACTTTACTAATTAATTCATTCCTGTGGCAGTCTTTACAACATAACTTTACTAATTAATTCATTCCTGTGGCAGTCTCTACTACATAACTTTACTAATCAATTCATTCCTGTGGCAGTCTCTACTACATAACTTTACTAATCAATTCATTCCTGTGGCAGTCTATACTACATAACTTTACTAATTAATTCATTCCTGTGGCAGTCTTTACTACATAACTTGACTAATTAATTCATTCCTGTGGCAGTCTTTACAACATAACTTCACTAATTAATTCATTCCTGTGGCAGTCTTTACAACATAACTTTACTAGTTAATTCATTCCTGTGGAAGTCTTTACAACACAACTTTACTAATTAATTCATTCCTGTGGCAGTCTTTACAACACAACTTTACTAATTAATTCATTCCTGTGGCAGTCTTTACAACACAACTTTACTAATTAATTCATTCCTGTGGCAGTCTTTACAACATGACTTTACTAATTAATTCATTCCTGTGGCAGTCTTTACAACATAACTTTACTAATTAATTCATTCCTGTGGCAAGCTTTACAACATAACTTCACTAGTTAATTCATTCTTGTAGCAGTCTTTACAACATGACTTTACTAATTAATTCTTTCCTGTGGCAGGATTTACAACATGACTTTACTAATTAATTCATTCCTGTGACAGTCTTTAAAACATGACTTTACTAATTAATTCATTCCTGTGGCAGTCTTTACAAC